AAACTCCTGTTAATGTTGGTAGTTTGACCTCTTCCCATGAATCACAAATGTTCTCATGGCACCTGGAATGGTGAATCCTTTCCAGAAAGTTCTCAATTTACTTTGCCCAGATCCTTCAGAGGAATCACTATCTATAGCAGGTATAGCCTTATCAAATATGTTTCTTAAATACTAAGACTTGAAAATTTAAATCACTCCTTGATCTCTGATGGGCTGCAGAATGGACATTCTGCTAGCAGGCATGAAAACAACATTCATCTCATTGTCCATCTCCTTCAGACCTCTTGGGTGACCAGGTGCATTGTCACTGAGCAGTAATATTTTGAGAGGAATCTTTGTTTTCTGAGCAGTCAGACTCAATAGTGGGCTTAAAATATTCCATTAATTATATTATAAGTAGATATGCTGTCATCCAGGCTTTGCTGTATCATTTATAGAGCACATGAAGTATCAATTTAGCATAATTATTAAGGGCCCAATGACTTTCAAAATGGTCAATGAGCACTGGCTTTAATTTAAAGGCATGATCTTCTCTCCAGATCATTAAAACTTTCTCCATATCAGGAACAAGGCTGTTTGGCTTTCTTATCACTCATGTGTTCACTGGAACAGCACTTTTAATTTCCTTCACAAATTTTTCCTTTGCATTTGCAACCTGGCTGTTTGGCACAAGAGGCCCAGTTTCGGCCTATCTTAGCTTTCAACGGCCTTCCTAAGCTTAATCACTTCTAGCTTTTGATTTCAAGTGAGAGATGTGTGACTCTTGCTTTCACTTGACCACTTGGAGGCCATTGGACAGTTATTTCTTGGCCTAATTTCAATACTGTTGTGTCTCTGAGAATAAGGATACTGATAAGAGGGAGACAGATGGGGGAAAGGCCTGTTGGTGGACCAGTCAGAACACAAACAATATTTATCTATTAAGTTCACTATCTTATATGGGCATGATTTGCAGTGTTCCAAAACAATTACAACTGTAACCTCAAAGATCACTGATCATAGACCACCATAACAAATATAATAATGAAGAAGTTTGAAACATTGCCAGAATTACCAAAACATGACACAGAGACACGAAGTGTGCAAATACTATTAGAAAAATGGCACCAATAGAGTTTTGACACAGGGTTGCCACAAACCTTTAATTTGTAAAAAACACAGTCTCTGCAAAGCTCAATAAAGTGAAATGCAATAAAATTTGGTGTGCTATTGTGGGGGGGTCAGAAGCATCATCCAGGGAGATTATTTTAGTTCTGATAAAGGCCATCCTGGGACATGTATGATAAATGAGACTGTTTGATGCTCCCCTGTTTCTCACTGTGCTCTCTGGATCAAAATCACACTCTTCTATGACCCAAATATGCCCTTTACTGTGTATGAATTCCAAGGACTGGGCTCTCAAAGGCTTAGCCTTAAGACTGCTCTCAGGCCAGTACACTGAATGGGATTACATTATCCCATGAAATAAATCTACCTGATAAAAATAGTACTCTAATCTATCCTAATTAAATATGTTCCCTTGATGCCCAGCACATCAGTTAAAGCCTTCACATGGGATTCAAGTCAAAGAGTAAATTAAATTCTGTTGATCATTAAACATTTCTGTTGTTTGTAAGCTACCCAAGCCTGTGGTGTTTGGTTATCGCAGCCCAGAAGGACTAAGACTCTGCCTCATTTTCATGAGTTAAATTCCTTCTCACCAGAAGAGGGATAAGAAGCCCACTCTCTGGGGGAGCTCTAACCTACAGTCTCTCCTGAGGAGACAGTGTAGCCCAGTGTTAAAAATGTAATTTGAACTCTGGCTTTACTACCAGCTAATAATGTGGTTATTAAGCCTTTTTAAGACTCATTTATTCATCTAAATGACAAGAATGATAGCTCTACAATAATACCATTAGGAGGATGAAAAGAGAAACGCAGGTAAAGCGCCGGGCCTGTAACAAGCGCTCAGTTCAGCTCTATTGCCATTGTTAAGATTGGTGTTTTGATTTACAGCAGAAGTCCCTGTCAAGTAGGGAAGTCATTATTTTTAGAAGTTAAATGTGGGGAAGGCTTTCTCTGGGGTAAACAGGAGAAACAGACGGACGAGCCATAGAAGAATGGAAGTGGAGCTCATGGCCCAGAGTCTGATGTCACCACGAGGAAGACCGCTGAACTCCCCTCACCAGGCCACGTCAGGGACCACAGCCAGCCATGTGCTGGGCAGAATGCTGAGACACAAAAACTCCACACGGGAGCGGCCAGGGGCACGTCCTAGCCTGGTCAAGAAGCTCAATACACAGGCTGTCTAAAGCAGCCTGGGCAGCTCCATGACTTCACAATGAGTGGAGATTTCTGATCACTTTCAAGCGGGCAACTCCACTGCTGGCTGTCAAGTCCAGCTCCTTGCTCTGCACCCCCTTCTGCACCTCACATCTGGGGCTGCGGCAGAAGGGCGACAGCCTAGTGTGTTTCGGGCTCCACTTGGAAGATTAAAATTGCCAGAATTACCAAAACATGACACAGAGACACGAAGTGTGCAAATACTATTAGAAAAATGGCACCAATAGAGTTTTGACACAGGGTTGCCACAAACCTTTAATTTGTAAAAAACACAGTCTCTGCAAAGCTCAATAAAGTGAAATGCAATAAAATTTGGTGTGCTATTGTGGGGGGGTCAGAAGCATCATCCAGGGAGATTATTTTAGTTCTGATAAAGGCCATCCTGGGACATGTATGATAAATGAGACTGTTTGATGCTCCCCTGTTTCTCACTGTGCTCTCTGGATCAAAATCACACTCTTCTATGACCCAAATATGCCCTTTACTGTGTATGAATTCCAAGGACTGGGCTCTCAAAGGCTTAGCCTTAAGACTGCTCTCAGGCCAGTACACTGAATGGGATTACATTATCCCATGAAATAAATCTACCTGATAAAAATAGTACTCTAATCTATCCTAATTAAATATGTTCCCTTGATGCCCAGCACATCAGTTAAAGCCTTCACATGGGATTCAAGTCAAAGAGTAAATTAAATTCTGTTGATCATTAAACATTTCTGTTGTTTGTAAGCTACCCAAGCCTGTGGTGTTTGGTTATCGCAGCCCAGAAGGACTAAGACTCTGCCTCATTTTCATGAGTTAAATTCCTTCTCACCAGAAGAGGGATAAGAAGCCCACTCTCTGGGGGAGCTCTAACCTACAGTCTCTCCTGAGGAGACAGTGTAGCCCAGTGTTAAAAATGTAATTTGAACTCTGGCTTTACTACCAGCTAATAATGTGGTTATTAAGCCTTTTTAAGACTCATTTATTCATCTAAATGACAAGAATGATAGCTCTACAATAATACCATTAGGAGGATGAAAAGAGAAACGCAGGTAAAGCGCCGGGCCTGTAACAAGCGCTCAGTTCAGCTCTATTGCCATTGTTAAGATTGGTGTTTTGATTTACAGCAGAAGTCCCTGTCAAGTAGGGAAGTCATTATTTTTAGAAGTTAAATGTGGGGAAGGCTTTCTCTGGGGTAAACAGGAGAAACAGACGGACGAGCCATAGAAGAATGGAAGTGGAGCTCATGGCCCAGAGTCTGATGTCACCACGAGGAAGACCGCTGAACTCCCCTCACCAGGCCACGTCAGGGACCACAGCCAGCCATGTGCTGGGCAGAATGCTGAGACACAAAAACTCCACACGGGAGCGGCCAGGGGCACGTCCTAGCCTGGTCAAGAAGCTCAATACACAGGCTGTCTAAAGCAGCCTGGGCAGCTCCATGACTTCACAATGAGTGGAGATTTCTGATCACTTTCAAGCGGGCAACTCCACTGCTGGCTGTCAAGTCCAGCTCCTTGCTCTGCACCCCCTTCTGCACCTCACATCTGGGGCTGCGGCAGAAGGGCGACAGCCTAGTGTGTTTCGGGCTCCACTTGGAAGATTAATGTGGACCTTTCTGTGTGGTGCCTGTTCCACCCACTTTGCTTTCCCACTTCTCTCTGGCTTTGTCGACCAGTTCTGCTACAGTCTTTACCAGACTCATTCCTCTCTTCTTATTTGGAGTCCCAGGGTATTTAAGAATAGTCCACTTTTAAAGCTCTTTCACACTTTAATGATGATGTCAATACTGTCACGAGCTCACAGAAGGAATAGCATTTAGAAAGGCTGATAGATAGCAAATTTCAATCAGGAAAATCATTTGACATCCATGCTCCTAATACAAAAGAGAATTTTTCTCAAAGGAAAGAAACAATTCTATCTCAAGAGAAAAAAGAGTGTATGTGGCAACTACGTTATGCTATTTAAAGAGTAGGAGGACATTCACAATAGAAAAAAGGAAAATTTAAGAATAAAGAGTGTCTGACACCATTTCCCACTTTACCCAACCTGTGTCTGACTGAAGTTTCATCTGATACCCCTTGGGCTCTGCGATCTAACAATGTCAATCAGATTTTAAGTCCATTCAGAGTACTATATATTATGATCAAAAGGTGTGTGCCACAAAATGGAATCAAACAATATGTGAGAGGGGGCTACAATTTGATAAAAACCATCAAGCAGCTTGACAGTTCACCTCTTAGCTCCTCATCTGGAGAGCTGCAAGCGCATCTGACCGACATTATTATTGTACCAACCTGGGGCAATGTTTAAGCTATCTACACTCTTCAATTTAATCATGGATTCATAAAATGGAATGTATCACTTCCAATGTTAAAACAAAAAAGAGAGCAACAATGTGTTCAGCACCTTGCCAAGTCTGGATATAACAAGCCCTTAGCCAGCCTGGGGTGGATGGATTCACAAGACGCTTCCAAGCCTCTCAGCCTGTTTTATGAATACCACATGGAGGCAAGTGTTAGCTTGCAGGCACTGCTGAGCAGTGTCACTCATATATTCTACTGGACACTCAAACCTTTGCAGATTTAATTCCAAGCAGATTTCTTTTGATTATATGAGAGATGGAAGGATGGATTAAGCCAGGAAAGTGAACAAGAGATATATCCTGAAAGAGGTTATCAGCAACCGAAACTCACCTGTAGATGATTCCTTTCTCATGTAGGAACATGAGCGCTGAAATGATTTCTGCAGCATAGAAACGAGCTCGTGCTTCATCAAAACGACGAGACTTCTGAATGTGAAACATCAAGTCGCCCCCATTCACAAACTCCATCACGAAAAACAGTCGGTCCTGGACACAAACACAAGAGAGACTCCAGTGTGGTGTGGCCATTAGCCTGGGTTCAGCCAGCATCACACTGCCTGGGCGGGGCCGTGTGTCAAAGGGAGGCCCTCAGTGAAATGCCCTGACAGCGGATCAGCACCAGAGGGTCTGGTGGGAATAGACCCCTGGGACAGTGAGGATCCCCTTAGGTAATTCCACACAACCTTGAATTTCTTCATTAAATAAGAAGTAGAGAAGGCCACAGAATCCTTTGGCCCTAGTTTTAGCTCTGCATCTTAAACACCATGTACCCTTGAGCTTTTTTTTTTCCCAAAGTTCAACATTAGTAAAGTGAGAACAATGATGCTACCCCGACCCAGTCATAGTTTTATAAACTGGAAGAGAACAACATAAATCTAAACGTGCGTGCCCTTCTTCTGGAATGCACAGGGTTAAACACAGAAAGTAAGGGACATCTAACAGGTCCTCACACTGGGCAGAGAACAATCACAGGAAAAGGAAAATGCTTTAGCAACCAGCCAAACAGCAGTTTCATGACAGCCTCAGAGTAGGCTCAGCATTAGAGAGTCCACTCAGCCCACCAGAAGATTCCTGAGTCAGGAGTGGGAACACACAGACGGGCATGGTGCTGTCTCTACCTGAAAGGAACTCTCAACTCTGCCGGTAAAATGGGGTCTTAAAAAAGATGCAGTGCCCTATGTATTGTGCAATGCAAGAGGTGTGAATGGGCTATAGAAACGAAGACTGCTTAATGAAAGCAATGTTAAGTCTCAGTTAAACAGTGATGTCTCCACAGATTAGCACAGATAAAACAAGTGGTGACTCTATAGCATCTTACTATGCTGACGGACAGTAACTGCAATGGGGTATGTGGTGGGGACTTGATAACCACAATGTTGCTCATGTGAAACTGTCATAAAATTGTATGTCAATGATACCTTAATAAAAAAAGAAAAGTGATGTATCCAAGACTGACAGTGTGAAAGCTTTGTGTCAGGAACCTCTAAGATCAGTGGATTCCCTTACTGGTTCCCACAACATTTACTAAGTCCCTGATTAGCTAGGTTCTGGGGACCCAACAGAGAGCAGAAAAGGCACAAAACAGAGACAGTCTCTCCCCTTACAGAGGCTTCTGTGGGAGATACACATTACTTAAAAAAAAAGTCACATAAATAAGTAATTGCAAATTCTGGCACATCCTATTCAGGAAAAGCAGAGGAAACAATGACATCTGGTCATCTGCTGGGGAGTCTGTGGAGGCATCTCGCAAGTGAACCATAAGCTGAGGCCTGCAGGGTGAGCCCCGGGCCAGCAATCGGCCCTCTGTGGGGAGGAGGGCGGGAGGTATTTTATCAGCTCACAGAGGACGTGCAGATGCAGAACCCCATCTTCTGTTAAGGTTGCAAGGCTGTCAGCTTTGCCCAGAGCATGACTGGCTTTGCTGATGGTGTCACCACACATTCACAGCTGAACACTGGATACTCTGAGCTGCTTTTCATCTGCAGGTACATCACTGCTTTAATCAGGCCCATTTGGGTCAGAAAACACCACAACTTGTGACACGTATTCCAATTTTAAATAAGGCCTGCATTAGGATGAAAAAGCCCCCTGAATCTATGGTATCACTCCGAATGTCACCTCTTCATGAATGTGGTATCTCTGCGAATCTATGAGATCTCTCAGCTATGGATATAAGAGTAGAGATGGAATTGCATAATTCACACACACACAAAACCAAACCAAACAACAACATCAAGACAGCTCTCCAAGTTGGCCACTCTGAGCCAACAGAGAAGTAAGCACCCATGAGCCATGTAGGCCAGCAGCTGTCACTGAGCAGGACTGACAAGTGACCAGGCAGAGCTGGGAGCACAAGCTTCAGTGAGCAACAGCACTCCATGATTCTTGTCTGTGAAGGTCTCAGGTGGGATGAACAGGTTAGCAGTGGGGTGGGGTAGAGGGTAAGCATGGATGGAGACGTGTCGGGGGCCACTTCCTGATGTGGATGCTGGGTTCATTTCGAGGGGTGGCTGAGGGGGATGGATGAACGCTACCCCAAACCACCTCTCAGCAGGTAGGGCAGTGTTACACATTTTTTGTTAACTGGCCTGTTCACCTTCTTTTTGGCTATGACAGCAGTCACACAGTTTCCAATAGCTTGAAATACCTGATTATTGGAACTGGGTCAGTAGGTAAGTGACTCTTCCTTAGACTGCTGGAAGTCAGCGTCCTTGGCAAGAGTTTCTATAGCAGTAGTTATCAACACGGTGAGGGTATTATAAGGGAAATGTCATCTATTTCTAGCTCCCCCTCAAATCATTCTCCTATCTCAAGTCTGAGTAGGCAGACTATGGACTACATTCCAAGTCTGGGGGAAGGAAACACAGCCTTCTAGTACTGCTCAAGCCCTTTCTCAGCCCCACCTCCATCTCGGGAGGCAGATTTCCCAGATAATGCAGCTGGCGGTGGTGGTGGCTGCGGGGGGCACCCATACCTACCATGCACAGCAAGGAGGTCACAAGCTACAAAAATGCCAAAAAAAAAAAAGGGTTTCTTTCCATTCAGAGTTTCATTTCTAACAAATCTGGCACCACCTAGAACAGTGGGTACAACTCACACCCATTGGGATACTTGCAGACACATCGACGATTTAGCGGAAAATAATGTCCATCCTATCAAAGGCCTAAAATAATATCACAAGGTGGAAAAATAAAAATATGTTTATAGCAAAGCACTTTTGCTTAAGGAAACCCCTGTTCATTTGCACTTCTTTTCACCCTATTTTAAAATGTTTGCTGCAGAGGTGGCTAAAATTTGGCAGCAATTTCTCAAAGATTTCCTTTGTAGAGGAGACAAATGTCAAAAATGTGCAGTTTTTAGCAAAGAAGATCCACACCACCATTAGGTGGTAGTGGGGAAGGGGGTGGTGAGGGAGCAGCCATCATCAACAATAAAATTTCATTAAGCATGTCCTCAGGTGAGGCTTCTAGAAACTGTGCAATGCATAGCAGCTGCTGCTGCTGGTGGCTGTGATGGTGAGGATATTCTCAGTTAAAAAAACAAAGATCATAAATGTGAATGATTTCAACTATAGCCGAAATGTAGATATGCAGAAGAAAGGACAAAAAATACCACAGAATGACAGAAGTTCACTCTTGGTTGTGGAGTCTGGGAAAACACTATTTCTTCTTTATACTTTTCAGTTTTGCTGAAGGTTTCTATGATGAGTGTGTATCACTTTTCTAATTAAAAACAAACCAAAGTCACATATGCTTTCTCCATATTTTTCTAATTCACATTTGAAAGATAATAGGACAATAGAAGGCACCGTGTTGAGACTGTCCTACTTTTATAGGCAGAGGAAATAAGGAGGCAGCTACAGTAAGAGGGACCTTCACATCCTTTGATGCCCATTATTAAGGGACACTATTAACCACCTTTCCCCTTAATGGCCTTTCTGAAGCCTGTTGTGAGCAGGCCATGGGGCCTGTTTACTTTGGGTGGAATGATATCCAAAATGAGACTCATTCGGCTCTGGTTTGGGTCCCAGCTTCCCTGGGAGTTAAGGGTCTGGTATGCAGGCTCTTTACTATCTACTGACGCTTTCAGAATCTGTTACACTTCCTTTAAGGTGCTCAACAAGAGGGAATGTTTACCAAGCACACACTACACCAGGCCCTGGGTAGGGACCTAGTGCCATAAAATGACTGAGACCCCATGTCTGCTACCAGGAAGCTCAAAGACATGTAGATACAGTCCATAACACCGGTGTGCTAAGTGCAGGGGAGGGGCACAGTGCGTGTCACTGGGACTAAGCAGGGGCACCTGAGCAGCCTGAGGGCTGGGGCAGCATCTGGGGAAAGATTCTAAAAGGAGCCGGCTCCCTGGCCTTGATGGATGAGGAAGCAGTAGTCAGCCTGGAATGGGGATGGGGATGGGGGTGGGGGTGGGTGGGGTGGGGATCAAAGTGCATGAATAGCTGGTGTGTCAGGTGTGAGGCAGGGTGTAGCTATGGCAATGGGAGACAGTTCCAAGTGCTGAGGCTGCTGAGGGTGCGCCATCACTGTAACACCTATGGCTGCTTCCACAATCCAGAGCTGGCAGGGAAAGCAGAAGGCTAGTTAGGGTGTTTTCTCTCACCTCACCCCCAGGTCACCCACAACAGAGACCTGCAGGGCTTCAGTCTTATTAATACACATAGTCACTCACCAACTGGTGTCTACCATAATTACAGGCCCAGTGTCCGGGCTGAAACAGGTGGCAGCTATGGGGCTTGGCTTGAAAAAAAGACTCCAGAAAGTGCTGGAACCTGTCACATACAATGAAACATCAGCTACAAAAGTGAATCACTCCAGCTAAATTTTTCCCCTATGGAATGAATTTCATCAACCAGAGGAAACCTTCCACATTTAGTGAATCCCCTATACAAAGCAAGGATCTGTATTTGAATTTCTGAAAGGAAGCTAAAGACAATCCCCTCCTACAACTCCATTCTCAGCTGTGCTGTTCAACAGCTAGTCTCACTGATGGCCCCTGCATTTAGACGGGTGCTGCCCAGTGGATTAAGGTTGCCCTGAGTCACTTTGGGGTCCAGGAAGAGTTTCCCCATCCCATCCTGGGCAGTGACTGCAAAGACAACTCTTTCTGTAGTTAAGCCTGGTTAGCATTCCAGTTTCTTTGAAGTCCAGTTTCCCAGACACTGAGCCTGAACACCTGCACAGCTTTCCCTGAGGCCTCAATCCTCTAATGCAAATTCTGCCCTGAGCTGCATGGGAGGAATGTAACGTCATGGAGACAGGTATAATGTCAGTTCTGAAGCCAGGTGGCCCAGCCCTCTGTCCCTTGCTCCTCGCTTTTGCTCCAGATCCCACCAACCACAAATGCATGTCATTAATGCAGGACGAGGAACACCTGGGGAAGTAAAAGTGACTCGGAAATCCCTTTGTCCCATACCTGCCTGCCCAGCGTGAATTATAGGAGGTCAGGGAGCTGGTGCTCACCTAATA